ATACATACATACATACATACATACATACATACATACAATATGTTGCCTTATTCATGTAAAGCCTTTTATTAAAGAGGAAATCAGGGCTTTTGTCTATTTGCATTTTTTCATTTTTCTCTTTTAAAATCAATAGTACAGTGTTACTGTCGGTGCAGATGCTGTGTGATAACTTTCTATGCATATTGGCTCCTCTGACTCTTGTTACTCCCTTGTTGGTACATTAGGGTATAAAGGTTTGCACTTTAGACAGCCAGTAGACTGCATTTTCTGTGACTAGTATTATTATTATACAGGATTTATATAGCCCCAACAGTTTGCGCAGCGCTTTAGTAGTTCTACTCTTCTTTCAGAGCATGTGACTTCTACCCCTTGTCCAAATAGCTGTTTACACTGGTTATATGAGACTCTACCACTGGGATAAAGACACACTAATGTGGTTATTCATGCTTTAAAATTTTGTCTTCTACAACCTGTTTTCTTCACCCTGCATTTTTGTTAAATTTATGCTATAGGTATTAAGTGAAGCTGTGGGAGCCCTCATGTATCACACAATTTCCCTATCTCGAGAGGATTTAGAAAAATTCAAGGCGCTTCGTATCATCATAAGGATTGGCAGCGGATATGACAATATCGATATTAAGTCTGCAGCGGATTTAGGTAAATTGGAAGTATTTATTTTTCCCTTGGATAGTTGTAAAAGAGAAATGTTACTGATTTGTGGTATTTAATTTTTTATTAGGGATAGCAGTTTGCAACATTCCCTCATCTTCAGTGGAGGAGACGGCTGATTCAACCCTCTGCCACATTTTGAACCTGTACCGACGAGTCACATGGCTGCACCAAGCTATGAGGGAGGGGAACCGGGCATCGAGTGTGGAACAAATAAGAGAGGTTGCTGGCGGGGCTGCCAGAATCCGCGGGGAGACTTTAGGCATCATTGGACTTGGTAAAACTCAGTCTGATAGAAACAAAGATTTCAAAATTAATCTAATTGACTAGTATAGTTTGCAGTGTTTACATTTAATATTATATAGGTTTGTACAGTGGGGCATTGTCATAAATAATGGCTAACTTTTCATTGCCAATCGATTTTTAGGTCGGGTCGGGCAAGCAGTTGCTTTGCGTGCAAAAGCATTTGGATTTACCGTCATATTTTACGATCCCTATCTTCCGGACGGAGTTGAGCGCTCTCTAGGCTTGCAGAGAATGGGAACTCTTCAGGAATTGCTAATGCACAGTGACTGCATTACACTTCACTGCAGTCTGAATGAGCACAACCATCACCTCATTAATGATTTCACCATAAAGCAGGTGCGTGGACATCTGTAAGCCACCAGTATTGTTTAGGTATGCACTTATATGGGAAATTTAAGAGTCTGATTATATCCTATGGCTTTTGGATATCCTGCAGTAAACTTATACATTTTGTAAACCCATACAAAGCATTTTCCAAGCTCAGAATTTTCCATGATTATCATCATGTAATGAAACTACATCATCATAAACCGAGACATTTTATTATGCATCCTGTAGATATGACAAATATACCAAAAAGGAGTAAAATGACAAAATAGAGGCAATAGGAAAAACAGTCAAAAGCAAATTCCTATTCAATCAAAACAGTGCATAGTGGGGAGAACAGCAGACATCAAATCTTCGCAGTTACACATCACAAAGTAAAAGTGCTTTAATCCTTCTTCATATTCTGGCAATTTAATACATTTACCTTTTTGTACCTGTGTTTTAATAAATGTTATTATAAAGAAAATGCACCGACCTGTAGCAACCATTCATATTTCAAGCTACCAGAATAAATACAGCGGAAGATGAAATCATATTTGCTGTTCTGGTATACTGTTTTGGCCTACTGGTGTAGTCTGGTAATAGTGGCATTATTCTAGCTGAAATATGCAAAAACTATTTGCTAAAAGTTTATTTGTGTTTTTCACTTGTCAAATTCAGAAAGTATAGCACCTGACCACTCTTGGTTGACGGTTAACCCTTTTATGTTGCATTGATTTTAAAGCCCCCCACAGAACTTCAGTATTGTGTTTTAGATCAGTGGTTCTCAACCTGTGTAACCTCAGGACCCACATTTGTCCTTGGTTATTAAGTTGTGACTAAAGTCGCACCCCACTGGAACGCACGGCATTGTGGTCAAACTGTGGGTGGGAGGTGCGTTTGTGGTGCCATTCAAATGAATGGGAATTACCTCCAGTAACCAGAATGCATGGTAGGTGAGATTAGGGACTGTGTGATTAATGCACTGTACTAGTGTAAACGGGCCTCAAACACACACACACACACACGTATGTTCTCCTTTTTAAGATCCACTCAGTCTCCCTAACCTGCGAGAACTGGAGTGGATCCTGAGCCTGGGGTCCAGTGTGGGCTGCTGTGATGGAACTCCATCCATATGCGCATTGCTTATACAGCTCCCTTGCATGCCCTGTAGAGGCCTGGGTGCCAGAATGTGACGTTACTCCAGTCCAGTCACCTCTACAAGACACGTGAGGGAGCTGTAAGCACTGCATGTATGTATGGAGCTCCCACTTGGCCATAGCCCCATTTCACCCCACCTCAAGCTGACACTCGGCACCAGGCAGCATATTTTGAATGGCTGCTTGGTGTGTGAACTGACAGTGCTGTGCTAGGGGGAGGCTGAGCAGCCCCTCACGTAGAAAAGAGGAAGCCATGCAGTGACCCACTAAACACGAGGTTGCGACCCACTTTTGGGTCACGACCCACCAGTTGAGAACCAAGGTTTTAGAGCCTTTTGTTCTTAGATGGCAATTCCTATACACAGACTGCAGATAAGAATCATAGGTAAGAAAAAGAATGGGCAGTCGGTTTTAAAGTGTTTTAAGATACACTGGTATAATTAAACCAATTTTAGTGAATAATCCACATAGATTTCCTTCAAATTTGAATGCCACTTAAATTCTTGACATTTGTAGTCATATGGGTTGCTTGCTGTGTTGGCTGTGTAGCTCTGTTCTTACCATCTCTGTTTTGTCAATTTTATTCAGATGAGGCAAGGTTGCTTCTTGGTAAACACAGCTCGTGGAGGACTTGTAGATGAGAAAGCACTAGCCCAGGCTTTAAAAGATGGCCGCGTCCGTGGTGCTGCTTTGGATGTCCACGAGTCTGAACCTTTCAGGTATGTTTTTGTTTTTTTAATTATGTTTCTGTTTGATAAACAGTGGCAATGCATTACTATTCTAATGTCTGTTTTAGCTTTTCTCAGGGACCTTTGAAAGATGCCCCTAATTTGATCTGTACCCCACATACTGCCTGGTACAGTGAGCACGCTTCAATTGAAGCAAGAGAAGAGGCAGCTAAAGAAGTTCGTAGAGCCATTGCAGGTATATATATAAAGAAAAGACATAGTTGTGCTATTATGTCTGCAGCATTGATTCTATTTTTTTTCTGTTTTATAGTCTTTGAACTTGCCTCTGAGCTCTATATTCCTTTTTTGCAGGTCCAATCCCAGATTGCTTGAGAAATTGTGTAAATAAGGAGTACTTGTTGGCAGCTGCACAGTGGTCAGGAATGGAGACAGTTCATCCAGAGCTTAATGGGGCAACAGGATATAGGTAGGTGGAATTCAACTAGATATCTAGACATGTAAACCGGTTTCAGTTAATATAATATGGGTTCATACTTTTTAAACATACCTTATGTACTTATTTTAGTTTTTATGTAGAGTTTTTTCTTATAGGATATAAGGTTATAGGCGGAGTGAGTGGGGCACTTTGCAAAGTGGCAGCAGGATGCCGGGGGATGGGAAGCTCTCTGTGTTCCCACACCCAGCACTGAAATGAAACCATTACTGTCAGACGAAGTGATAGCCGTCTAACAGTAGAAGTATAGTCCAAGCCTGACGTCACCAGGGAATAGAACGGCGCAGGAGCATGTGATCTGGTAAGTAAACACTGAGTGGAGTTAAATAACCTTGCCACTGGCTACCAATGTGGGGTGAAGGTTAATAAAGGGTTAAAAGCACTGCCATTGACCATTAATGCAGGGGGGGGGTGGTGGTTAACGGCATTGCCACTGACCACCAATGCGGGTAAGAGGGGTGTTGGTGGTGGTAACAGCACTGCCACTGCAGGGAGTGTGTTAAGGATGGGGGTTAACAGGATTGCCACTGAACACCAATGAGAGGGTTAAAATAGCACGGTCACTGACCACCAATTTGGGGATGGTTATTGCAGTCACCAACACCATTGCTGAGTGTATTCTTGAAGTCAGTGACACCAATGCACTGGCTTATTATTGTGGTCACTGGCACCAGTATTGGCGTTTGATATTGTGCTCACTGATACCAGTGCTGAGGGTTATTTCGATCACTGGTGCCAATGCCGAACATTTTTGTGGTCATTGGCACAAATGCTGGGTGGCGGCGTTGTGGCTACTTACACTAATGCTTGGCATTATCATTGCAGTTTATCAAAAGTATATCAAATGGTAATACCACCATTTTACATTTACTACACTTGCAGAGACCAGTTTGAAATTCTTTGATAAATGTAGAAACCCACTATTAGAGCCATGTCACACGAGAATCGCCAAGATGCTTCTGACACCTTCCCTAGTAGCATTGTTCCATAGCTGACCTTCCGAAGATAGTCCAACTGGCTCCTTTGATCAGCTGATTGAGGGAAGCAGTCCGAAAGGGTGCTGATGGCAGCACGCGCTGTGAGAATTTCGGTTGGTTCCGCAAGAACCGGCTGAAATTTGCACAGTGTATGGCCACCTTTTAGTTTACTACTACTACTACTGCTGTGCAGGTTCTAGCGGCATTTTTGCAGATCCTTTTTATCTATGAGAATCCTATTTTATTGCTCTCTCTCATTGCAGGTTTCCCCCAGGAGTTGTTGGAGTAGCTGCCCCAGGACACCCAGCTGCAGTGGAAGGGCTGGTGGCTGCCCCACACCCATTAATTCCCGCCGTTTCTCACACTCCGTCACCTGGACAGACCACCAAACCTGACCCAGACAGAGAGATTCCTACTGACCAGTAGCAATACTGTGCCTAGTTTGGTTTCCTTTGTTTATTTTGTTTGTTATGCTTTTTGTTTTTCTTTGATTTTTTTTTTTTTTTTAAACCACCACTCCCATATTTGTGCTCTGTTTCCCCCTCGGTGTAGTTTGGGGGACAAGGGCAGGAATCCAGGTTTTTTCAGCAGCTTTACCCGGTTGATGGAATCAGGCTGCAAGCCCTGAGGTGTATCATCTCTCCTCACACCGGAAAGGAGAATGTTCTTACCAATGTCTGGAAACCTTTAGATAATGCCTTTCAACAGATCTATTTTTTAACTGATTTAGTTTTAAGTGAAATATGATACGGGTGGGTTGTGCTTCTGTGTGCTGGGGTATGCTGATCTCTTCTGCTTCCTCTAGTACAAGACATGCCCAGTTGTCTCAGGGAGCTGAGGCATCACCAAATTTTTTATTAGAAGTAGGTGTCTGCATGTTAACCCCTTCAGTGCTTTGGAGGATCTGTAATGTGCTCTTTTATAGTCTATTGCTCTCCTCCCTACCCAAGGGTTGACAAAGGCAGGGGAGTGTTTATATCATCTGTTTTACAAGAGGATTATTCTCCATTGCGGAATTATGCGAAACGTGTTAACTAATGAATAATTGTATGTGCAGAGTTTCTACATTGGGTTCTAATAGTCCTTGTTACCATCCCTGTGTAGAAGGGTACAGTAACTGGATAGTAATTGGTGTTCTACTTGCACACCAGCTGAAAGTCTTTTGATTTTTAAATGATGGGCATTACTTCAGTTGTTGTTAACCATTATCTCTTTATTGATGTACTGAGAGTTCAGCGTTTGAAAGCAACAACATTGTTTCAAGACTATTCATTCTCAAAAGTTTATCTAGAGTTATAACTTCACAGGCATTTTATTAGGGAAAATCATTACTAAAAATAGGGTGTCATCTGTATGTGCAGGTTTTTATTACTCGCGCATCTTAGTTTTCCGTTGCCGCAGAATATCACTAACTATATGTGCAAAATGTTTTTTGATTTTGTATAACTGGCTATATGGATGTTGTAGCAGTTCTTTCCTCTAGCTGTGCAGAGCTGGGGCTGGGAGTCTTGCTGGAGAAACAAACTTTGCCACTGTCAGTACATCGGTTTTGGGGTTTTAGACTGGGGGGGTTACACTGGCAATAAAATTGAGAGATTTAAAGTATATGTAAACACTAACCACAAACCTCTCTTATTTACTCCTTTTTCGTCTGTTAAATATATAATTGAAAGCACTTTGTTATATCTGTTTGAATAAGTGCAAAAAATACTTATTTTCAGAATTCCAGTGCTGACCTGTGCAATTTGCAACATTTATCTCAAACAATGTGATCAGGAAGTGTTTTAGGACTACATATTACCCCACCTCCATGTTTTGGAGATTCAGCCACAATATTTAAGGACTGGCAAGCTACAATAGATTATATTTTTGTTCTTGGATTTACCTGCTTGTTGTTGCCCCCCCCCCCCTCAGTTTTGTGTCATTTCAAAGAAGAAGTTGTTGAC